CATTTTGTTTCTTCTTTCTCGTGATTCCTCCTATTGGTTCTAATTCTTCTTTACAACATGACTAATGTGAAAATATGTTTAATGGGAATGTATCTATAGAACCTACATCAGATAGCGTGTCATCTTGGGGAAGGAGTAGGGGAGGGAGGGGAAGAAAATTTAAAACTCAAAAACTTATGGAAGTGATTGTTGAAAACTAAAAATAAATTAATTTTTAAAATAACAAAAATTTTTAAAAAAGAGTAATTTTCTTGCCAGACTGCTTTCCAGTTTTCCTTGAAGTTTTTTTTTTTGTTTTTTTAAAATCATATAGGGAGTTCTTTCCTAAGTCATTTATGGTGTCTAGTTTACTGATCCCTGGATTACTGAGTTCCATTGCTTCTGATTCTCCTTTGTCTAATTGGTTCCATTGATCTACCTCTCTATTTTTAACAAATACCAGATGTTTTGATAGTTGCTGCTTTGTAATATAATTTGAGGTCTGGAAGTGCTAGTCATTTTTAAAAATCTCTATCTCTTCATTATTTTCCATGATATTCTAGATTTTTATTTAATGATATAATATTAGAACTCTAAATTAACTTTGGTAGTATTGTCATTTCTATTATATTTTCATGCTCAGCCATGAGCACTGAATATTCCTTCAACTATTTAAGTTGTTCTTTATTTCTTTAAGAAGCATTTCACAATTGAATCTAAACAAGTCTTTTGTGTGTTTTGGTCTATTGATCTCCAGACGCTTTATACACTTTGGAGTTATTTGGAATGGGATTTCCCTTTATGTCATTGCCACTTAGGTTTTGTTATTATTATATGGAAACACTGTTGAATTTTAAGTTTATTTTGTAGCCTAAAACTTTGCTGAAGCTATTACCCAATTAACATCTTTCCTGATTTCGTAGGATATTCTAAGTAAACTGTATTCGCAAAGCTTTATGCCTTTAATTTCTTTCTCGTGTTTTATTGCTATTGCTAGTATTTCCAGAAGCATAAATAATAGTGGGGAGAGTGGCATTCTTGCTTTATGTTTCTATTTATTGGAAAAGGTTCAAGTGTATCTCTATTGTATATGATGCTGCTTTTGGTTTTAGATAAAATTTTTTTATATTAAAAAAAGTCCCTCTATGCCTATATTTTGTATGGGTTTTTTTTTTTAAAGCATAAATGAGTGTTGTACTTTGTCAAAGGCTTTTTCTGCCTCTATTGAGATAATAATGTGATTGGGGTATTTTTGCTTTTAATATGATTAATTATGTTTATTATTTTCCTAATGTTAAACCATCCTTGCATTCCTGGAGTGGGTCCAACTTGGTCATGATGAACAATTTTTTGGATGAATCTTTGTAGGCATTTGGACAATATTTTATTTAATACTTTTGAATTGATATTCATTAATGATGTTAGTCTGTGGTTCTTTTTTAGTGCCTCATTTTTCCTTGGTTTAGGTAATACTAATCCCACAAAAGGAATCTATTACAATGCTTTCTTTACCAATTTTTGAGAGTAATTTGTCTAGTATTGTTACTAATTATTATTTTTAAAAGTTTGATAGAATCCTCCTGTGAATCCATCAGGACCAGAAGGTTTCTCCACTCTCCCCTAACCTTTATCCCCTTTGATAGTTCCTTAAAAGCTAGTTCTCTATCTTTTTCTGAGATTGGATTATTTAAGATCTTTGTATTATTTAAGATGAAATTGTTGGTCTTTGTTTGGATATTTTATATTTTGAAGGTGTTTCTCTATTACTTTGTGTCCTCAGTTTTAGTAGCAAATAACTATGTATAATAAGTTCTACTTTTTTTTGAAGTTCTGGTTTTGTTGTGATTTCACCTTGTTCATTTTTTTTATTTGATTTTCTACTCTCTTCAATCAGATTGGCTAAATGTTTGTCAATTTTATTGCTCTTTTCAAAGAATCAGGTTTTAGTTTTATTTATCATTTATATAGTATTTTTGATCACCAATTTGTCTAATTCTCTTCTGATTTTAAAAATATCTCTTTTGTGCTTATTTTAGATTTGTCTATTTTTTAGTTTTCTAATTTTTAAAAATGCATATCAGTTCCTCAGTCCTTTTTTTCCCTATTTTCTTTTTACTTATTTCTTTTTATTTTTTAGGTGGGCAATGGGGGTTAAGTGACTTGCCCAGTAAGCATTATGTGTCTGAGGCCGAATTTGAACTCAGGTCCTCCTGAATCCAGGGCCAGTGCTCTATCCACTGTGCCACCTAGCTACCCCTTTCTATTTTCTTAATGGATGGTTTTGGATATAATTTTTCTAGAGGACTACTTCAGATACATTGAAGAAATTTTGATATTTCTATTTGACATCCAGTAGAAATATTTGATATGTTGTTTCATCATTACTACTTTCACATAATTATTGTTCCTATGATTTGTTTTTGGACCCACTCATTATTTAGCATTCCTTTGTTAAGTTTCCATTTGGATGTGCCTTTAACAAAAGACTTTGTGCTTTCTGAATTAATTACTATTTTTTATTTTGATATGTTCTATAAATTATTTCTGCCTTTTTACATTTATTTCCAATATATCTGTGTCCTAATATGTGGCTAATTTTTGTAAAAGTTCCATGTGATGTTTAGAAATACGTGTATTTTTTTAAACAGTACAAAAGATATCATGTCTTTAGCTCATTTCTCCAGTAATTGGTTCAATTCTATGTATTTTCTTTTTATTTATTAGATTTATCTAAAACTGAGACACTAAAATCTCTTGCCACTAGTGTATTACTTTCTATATATTCTTGTAATTCAGTTAATTTTTCCTTTATTGATTTAGATGCTAAGGCATCTGGAGCATATAAGCTTAATACTGATAATGGTTTGTTGTCTATGCTTCCTTTCAGCATTAAGTAGTTTCCTTGTTTATCTCTTTATGTTGTGAATTTGTGTTTTTTGCTTTGTCTGAGAGTTTGATTACAGCTCCTGCTTTTTTAGATTGACCTGATGCATAGTAAATTTTGTTCCAGCTTCTCATTTTTATTATTCTGGTATGTCTTTTTAGTTGCTTGTTTCTTGTAAGCAAAGATTATGGAGTTTTGTTTTCTTATCCAATTTATAATCAGATGTCATGGGGGCAATGGACATCCAGAAAAGTGGGAGGGCATGGACCCAGAGAGATTTCATGGGAAGTGGGAAAGAAATGATCATGGGGAAGGCAAAGGATAGTAATGAACTATACAATAAGAGATATAAGAAAATTCCTACTAAGGGCCATTATTTCTATCTTCTCTATCACCTGCAGGAATTGCTAATTCTTTGTGAGGCACAACAGAAAAAGGGGAATATGAGGCAAGAGCTATAAGGCAGTAACAAAAAAACCTGTTTAGAAGAGGGAACCCAAAATACATCCCTAATTCCATGAGGAATACTGAGACTTAAGAAGGTCTAAATAAGGATAATGAATCAAAGAATATTGATAGAATAGACAGAAAGGGAAAGTAAACAATGAAGAGAATAAGGGAAACAAATCTACTTTTTTTTAAAAAAGAAAATGGTGCATATAAGAAAATTTTACAAAATTAATTAAAAAAAACAACTTGAAGGGGAGGAAAAGAAAGGGATTTTACTTGACTACTTAACTGGGAGGAAAAAAGAAAGGAAGAATTAAATAACTAGATAAAAGGAAGAAAGAAGTTAAGCAAAACCCTAAAACTAGGGAAAGGTACCAGATAGAAGGCAGGGAGATGGAGAGTTGACAGTGAGATAAAAGCCTGTGTGAATAGGGTTGCCTTAAAATAAATTAAGCTAAAATAACTGAAGAAACAAAATACTGTTTTTATAAAGGGGGGCGGAATTGTAAGGGGGAGGAGAACGGTATTAGAAACAAATGGAGGAAAGTGTAAACTTAATCCTCAAAACTTTAAATGTGAATGAATGAAATAATCCGATAAAACAAACAAACAAAAAAAGTGACAGATTGTGTAAGAAAACAATATTCCACAATCCCTCCTTATTCTAATTTAATCTCCTTAAGGACAGGAACAGTCTTGCTTTTGTATCTGTATTTCCTGCTCTTAGCAGTACCTCACATGTATTCTTTAATATTTGCTTTTCATAAATTTGTTACATTCAGAGATATGGGACTGAAGCTCCGATGACAGGACTGCATTGGAGATAGATATTTGGGAATCACTGACATAGAGATCATTGTTGAAACCCTGAATATTGAGGGCAAGTGTAAAGAATTAAAGGGCACATGACCAGGCTTTAGGGAAAGCTCATAGTTACGCAGTTATCCTATGGGACAAGAAAGAGGAGTAAGGGAAGTCAATATATAAAAATGTTTTATTGAATTTAGAGCTAAAAAGGACCTCAAAGTTATCTAGTATAAATCCTTTCATTTCATTAATGAAAAAACTAAAGCTCAGAGGAAAACAAGTGATTTAGGATTGTGAAATTTAGATCTGAAAGAAACCTTTAAGACCATCCTCTGATTTTTAGATAAGAAAACTGGCATCTAGAAATTAAGTGACTTGTCAGAGCTGGAATTTTTACTTAGGTTTACTGGCTCTGAATCCAGTGTTCTGTCCTCTGTGCTAGGAACACTTCATCCTCCTAACTTCTAGAGGACAGAGAGTGCTGCACTGCTATACTATCCAGACCAGGAATGAAGAAACCCCCAAGTTTATTCCCCAACCTACTCACTCCCCTCTTCTTTCTTCCTACGGGACTGTATTTATATACTCAACTTAAGATTATGTCTTGAATTTTGCAAATTTGAATTTGTTTTATAAGTTCTTTAGTAGTTTTGCCTTCATTATATTGAGATCTTTCTCAGAATAAGGACCTTATTCCCTTAAATCCTATGAGTTTCTCTCATCCCCTCTTCTTCTTTCAGTTTTGTTTACTGCTTGGGGCTCAATAAATACTAGAATAATTTTTTTTAGCCCAATGCAAAACCACTCGAGATTCATTTCATTTGCAATCTTTATTGGTCTCTCTTTGAAACATATGAAGAAGAATATAGACAGAATTATCAGATGGAAATTTTTCTGCCAGTAGAATCAAGCCCAGAGGTGTGTTTAGGCTGAATCATTCAAACCTGGAAGAAAATGGGAAAAATGTCACCAATGACTACCACATCAAGGCAAATGCACCCTATGTCTCCTTCTCTTGCTCACATCACCCTGTCTCCCACCTTCAAGCTGTCCTTCCCACACCAAGATCATCCTTACCTCACCTCTCAGCTTATCTATTGAGCTGTTCTCACTATTCTCTCCCAATTCTGTAACATTGTTCAGCTAATGAGTTTGAACTTGTCTCAGTGGCTGCATCTCCATATTTGTACCCTCTCCTCTATCAGATGGATGTAGGGATTATATGTCATTTCTCTAGAAGGCTCTCATAGGTTCATGGATTTACAGTTGAAAGGAACCTCAGAAAACACAGACCAGAAGTACTTGGTCTCCAGGAGATGCTCAGACATGGCTATAGAAAGACAGGAGTACTTTTTGGCTTTTATTGAGGCAGAAGGTGGGGCATTATTGAGATGGGACAAACAAGTGACCATGACATAACCCAATGCTAAAGGAGATTCTTTCAAAGTGTCACATATATGGGCAATAATCTCTGCTGAGTTTGCCTCATTGATGCAATTTGGGAGGAAAAGAGGAAGGGAGGAGAAATAGGATTTCACCCTAGTGGATCCCAGCATCATTTATTTAGAGCTGGATGGGACCTAAGAAGTCATTGAATCCAAACCCCTTATTTTACAGATGAGGCAACTGAGGCACAGAGGGTGAGAATTTGAATCCAGGTCTTCCTGATGCCAAGTCCAACACTCTATTCACTAATCCATGCTGCTTCTAGTTAAGGGAGACCCTAGAAACCAATTCCTCTCCCACCTTAAGACAAAATCAACCACGCCAGTGCCAATTCCTTCATTCTCTTATTCTTAGGATCCTCAGATGGGAAGGAGTCCTTAAATAGGGAGCTGCAAAGGAAATAACGCAGAGGTCAGGATAAGTGTTCTCCCATCTATTATCCTTTCTTTTCTATGAGAGATTGACCTTACCTCCAGTTTTCTGTGTTCTTTAGGTCCCAGTTGTCTTGGTTCATTAGTTCTGTACTGTCAGCTTTTCTTTCGGTGATGTTATGTCTCCAACTGGCAAGATAAAGATCAGAGAGTGGATGAAACTGAGTTTTGCAGTTTAGGAAGGAGGTGGTGACTTTAATCCATTGACTTTCAAGGCCTTTTTGTCCCTAATACCTCTGTCTCCTACTCACAGACTTATATCCCTCTTCATCCAACCAATTCCTTAATTCATTTTTCAATTGTTGTCATTACACAAATGTTCAGGGCCTCCAAAGAGGACACCCTCAATTATGTTTAAGACCAGTCTTGAAGGGGATGAAGGAGAATCCTTAAGAATAGATGTTGATTTATTCTCTTCCCAAAATTTGCTGCCATTACAAAATTTGAAAGTGCTACAACTCGTATTGCCTCAACATCCTTTTCCTTCTCTGTAAACTCCTGAGGGTCTAATATGTTCTCCCTTTAAAAGTGGTGACATAGATTCAATATTGAAAAATCAAACTGGTATACCCCAAAACTAGACTATTTCACTTAATCAGAACTGTAACTAAATGGAAATGGATAAGGCTCTTCTCCAGGGTGTCTTTAGAGGACCACCAACAACACTCTGAACTCTAAGGGCAAGACCAGTTCAACCTGACACAGGGGGCTGAAAAAGGGTGGAGATAACAGGGTTGGAAGCTGAAAGGTGAGGGAGACAGATAACTCCAGGGGAAAATGATGAGGATACTAGGAGAGAGGGACTGGGCTGGCAAGATGTTGGAAGGAAAGGGAGAGAACTGGAGTCGGAGGGAAAGAGAGAATTTAGAACTCAAAATTTAAAAAATTAATGTTAAAAATTTTAAAAAGAAAGAAAAAAGAAATTAGCAAACACTATTTAAAAAAAAGAAAGGGAGGGAACTGGGGAACACTGTGAGAGAGGAACTGGGAGATTCTAGGGAAAAAGGAGGGACCTAGGGAAACACTGAGATGGAGGAGCAAGGGCTTAGAGGACCCTGGGAAAGAGATGAGAAGTAATTCACTTGTTCTTCTTCCCCTTCTGGGACAGAAGCCAGTTAACAAAGTCCTGTTGCATGATTTTATCCATGGTGATGCTGTAGTCACTAATGAAGGTCCCCTCAGCATAGCGCTGTCCTCGAGCCCATGGGCCACCAACTTTGGGGTGAGGCCTAGAGAGTAAGAAGAAGAAAAAAAAAGACCACTCAGTGGGGGAGAGAGGTAAGGAAGAATGGAAAATAGAATAGAGAGAGGAACAGGAAGAGAAGAAGGAACAGATCAGGGAAGGGATAGAAGAAGAGGAGATAAAAGATGGGAGAAGAAGAAAGGACAGGGGAAGGTACAAAAGGAAACAAAGTGAGGTCAATAGCAATCAGGAGAAAAATATTTACAACTTAGGAAGACCCATTGAAAACAAACTGAACTCATTTTTACTGGATATGTATTTTCATGGCTCAGATACCCTGTCAGAGATATAGTGATATAGATGGAGCTTCATTCTCAACCCAGGGACTTCTCTCAATATGTGGCTTTGGTTCCAGTGGGAGCTGAGATATAGGCAGGAGAAATTAGAAGTAAGAGGGGCCTGCCATATAGGCTCCTATCTTCCCCTAAATCATTGCTATATAATCTCAGAAAGAAGAATGTCCCTCAGTAAGGAGCCAGAGTATATGTCCAACTCCACTGGAGGTACCTCAATTGAGTAAGTCAGGGGTTTTCCAGATCACCCCTGCCATACTTCCATTATCTCTCCCTACTCAGCTCCTTGATGTAGTCATAATGACATAGCACATATAGACCTCTCCCCCCACTCCAAAATCCTATAATTTATCTCCTTGCCTCTGGAAAGGCAACTCACCACCCTAAGCCATCCAAGAAATAGAAAATAGATGCTAGCTAAAGTTCTCCAAGAAAGGATATTCAAGTTTTGCAAATGTCTATACTCAATCTCTCTACTTGCAGCCTAACCCCCACTCACCCTGGCTTCATCCTCTGAGGAAGCAGAATAGTTCAATGACCATCCTTTAGAGACCTTTGCTAGGCTACTTCCTTGGGCTTCTCTTGTCTATGGTCACTAAGCCCTACTCTCTAAGCCAGATAGGTGTCTGTGAGGAAGCCCAAGATGTAGTCATTCCTCCAGTCATTTTCTCTACCCTGCCAAACAAGATATACCTTTACCTGAAGTGAGTCTCCTCCATGGCACTGTTCACCACTGCCAAGAATAGAGGCAACAGCATCAAAGAGAAAAGTTTGACTTTCACCATCTTCCCAGCCCTGTTTCCTGAGACAAGAAAGAAGGGCTCTGAATTAGGTGAGTTGAGCAGAGATGAGAATGGGGCCAGAGTAGCAGCTATGGCCTTACAGAGGGGTTAGGGTAGGAAGGGCAACAGAGCCTGGGCTAAGCTGGGAGTTTCGGGGATTTTCTGTTTGGATCTGTGATTTCATAGTTGTAGGGAGCTATAGGTGTAGGTGAAAAAACCACCAATGCATATCAGCAACTGTTCTGTTAATTTTAGTCTTAGAGACTTGTCTGGGTCGCCGAGAGTTTAAGTGACTTGCTTAGGGTCTCACAGCCAATGTCAGAGGCCAGATGTCAAAGGACCCAGAGACCCCAAATCAAGATTACCCTCTGCCCCAACGACTATTAGTGCTAAGAGACACAGTCTTATTTCCTACCTAGAGGGGGAAGTAGAGATGATTTTAGGATTCTAGACATCCCCTAGTGACTAGGTTCTATCTTATCCATTTCCTAGCCTTCTCTTTTGTCTTGCCATAGGCAGCTAGGTGGCACAGTGGATAGAGCATCAGACATAGAGTCAAGAAGACCAGAATTGCAATCCAGCCTCAAACACTTACTAGCTGTGTGACCCTGGGCAAGTCACTTAACCCTGTTTGCCTCAGTTTCCTCATCAATAAAATGAACTGGAGAAGGAAATGACAAACCACTCAATTATTGTTGCCAAAATAACAAACAAACAAGCCCAAAAGGAGTCACAAAGACTTGGATACCACTGAAAGGACTGAGCAAGAAGAAAAGTATTCTTCTTACCTGCAGGTTTTTCCAGAGTCTGCTTCTGGGAAATCGGTTGGTGGCTACTGAACTCCAACCCCTTTATATTCCCTAAATATAAAGGAACTGATTAGATTAAAAGCCTCTTATCTCTAGAAGTCAAGCCCAGTGTTTACACTACCTCCAAGCCATTTACCACTTGGTAAACCTTCCCTTTCCACCTGAATTATACTAATTGGTCATTAACATTTGAGTTAATCTTGGACTGGCCAGGCCTCAACCTTTCCCAGACTAAAGTGGCTCATTTGAAAATGCTTTATGAAAGCATAAAGTGAGATGTTGTAAAGACCTTAAGTGGGGAGGTGAAGGAGGGAGGCCTCCTCCTATGATGTGGAGTATAATAGGGGAGAGGGTCAGAGATGAAATTGTTCCTACTTTGTTGAGAAAAGGGTACAGCATAAATTTAGTCCCCAAACTGATTATACTCCCTCCGGTCTCTGCCCACTCCAAGGTATCCTTCACACAGCTGCTGAAATAACATTTCTGATGCATGGGTCTGACTGTGCACAGGTACTCTCCTGCTCAAAAATATTCAATGGTTCCCTGTTTCCTATAGGATAAAATAAAAATTTCTTTTTTTCCTGGCATTTAAACTCCTCCACAATCTGGCTTCAATTTGTGTTTTCTATTTTATTTCCCATCTACTATCATTTATGTACCCTATAGTTTAAGCCATCTGGGGTACGAGCTGTTCTCCAACCCAGTCCCACCATTTCCTGGCCTATCCATTTGGGCATGCATTTCCTGCAACACGCTCTCTCTTCATCCCCTCTTAAAATATTTTTCTACTTTCAAGTCCTTCCAGTTTTATTTCATATCAATCCCCTTTACAAACTCTTTCTGTTAGTCAAACTATCTCCCAGCCCATGCCTGGGAGTGAACAAATTCTCCCAGGTCTGGGATGCCCTTCTTCCTCACCTCCACCTCACAGAATACCTAGCTTTCTAAAAGCACAGTTGAGGTGCTTCTTCCTTGGACAAGAGACCTTTCCTGAAGTTCTTTGATGGTTAGACACTCTTCCTCTTGAAATTACTTTGTACATACTTTGTGCTTAATAACTAGGCAGCCATTACTTAATGCCATTGCTTAGCTAAAAAAGAAAAAAAACTAGGCAGCTAGGTGGCGCCAGGAGGATAGAATGCCTGGTCTGGAGTCAGGAAGACCTGAGTTCATATTCATCCTCAAGACACTCACTAGCTATGTGACCCTGGTCAAGCCACTTATCCTCAGCCTCAGTTTCCTCATCTGCAAATAGAGATCATAATAGCACCTACCTCCTAGGGTGGTTGTGAGGATTAAATGAGATAATATTTGATAATATTTGTAAATTAGTACAATACCTGGCACATAGTAAATGTTAGCTATTATTATTACTATTATAATTTTTATTATTATTTAATTGCCTATATTATATCTCTTAAAATTATAAGCCCCTTGAGAGCAGGAATTATTATAATTTTTTTTGGTATTTGTATTCCCAGTGCCTAGCAGAGTGCCTTGCATTTAGTAGGTACTTAATAAATGCTGGTTAAGTTAAAAGCACAGCTTAGGTCTTCCTTAATGGAGCCTTTTCTGATCTCCCTAGATGCTAGTGTTCCCCCTCTGGGAATTACTTTCTGGCTACCTTGAATATATTTTTCACTTCATTTTTTGCGGATATCATTTCCCCTACTAGAATTTAAGCTCCTTGAGATCAAGGGGTGTTTTCTTTGTGCCTTTGTATGCCCAGCACCTAATAAGGTGCTTAGTACAGTAGTAGGTATTAAATAAATGCTTGTTGAATGGTTGAATTAATGCATTTGAAGATATCTGCCTCTATGAAATGTTATTACTGTCCTAGAGACCTCTTTTGCTTTTGGTGAGGGAAAAAAAAGCCATCTCATGGTCAGAAACTAGAAGAAAGGAGTAAAGAATGTAGAGAGGTTTTGAAGTATGAGATAGGGAAAGAAGTTATGTTTATGACAGATGGCCTCCACTTACTAGGTGAAGTAGGAGATGAGGTTCTTCTTTTTAAGAGGGAGGGGGGAATTGAGGCTTCAGAAGAGACTAGAAGATTTGGAAAAGTCATTGTAGAGAGTGGAAGAAAAAAAGTCATTCAGGGAAGAATGAGGGTTCTCTTAGGGGCAACAGTAATTATTGTCTAGTTGGGATTAGATAATGTACATTTATGGGGGACTCAGTAATCAGAGTTATATGATTTCCTCCAGTATCATTCAGCAGATTGTATGTAGAGGCAGAGTAAGCAGATGCTGAGAGTGACCCCCAGTCAGGGTTTGGCAAGGCATGAGTCACAGAGAGCAATATGAAAAGAGTTTCAAGGAGAGAGGACAATGTTGTTGTTGTTTTTGTTTATCCTTAATTTTCAGGAGGACAAATGACATCACAGAGTGATGTCTTGACCAGTGTGTGAATTGGGTTTAAGTGACAAAGTTAAGCACAAAGTTGTCAGCCTTACTCTCTCTTCCGGAGTCATCCATGTCCAGTGGCAAGACAAAAATCAGGATGACTGGCCCAGGATGACCAGTGGATGACCTTAGTGTCTTTCATGTCTAACCAAAGAGGACAATGTATAGTTGAAGTGATTGACTGTAGGGTCAAAACAACACAGAAAGAAAAGTGGGGCTGGTGTAGGGATAAATTATTAGGAAAGCAGGAAGGGGAGAGTGACTAGAAATCATATGTAGGATACAAAATGAGTTTAAGAACCGATGGCAAACATACGGAGAACTCACACACGATAGGTATTCACATGGAGGTCAAAAGAAGCAATACAAGGACACTCTCAAGGTCTCTGAAGAACTTTGGAATTGATTGCATGACTTGGGAGACACTGGCAAAGGACCACCCAGCATGGCACGCCCATATCAAAGAAAGCACTCTGTTCTATGAGCAAAGCAGAAGTACGGTAGCTCTAATGAAACATGAGAATATGCAAATTTAGAGACAGCTTCATTCCAAATGTTCATGTGGACTATTTGTGCCTGACCTGTGGTAGAGCCTTTCAAACTTGTATTGGTCTGGTCAGCCACAGTGTACCTTGACCCTGACATAGTAACGTCATTTTGGTCTTCTTCAAGGATGAAAAGGGCAGCAACCAATCAATCGACCAGAAGGGATGAGACAGAGGGAAAGATGGAGGTTGTGATCAGAGAGAGGAATTTTAGAGTTCGGGATCATAGAGGCAGATCATTTGTGGGTGATGGTGAGATTAAGGGTATGAGTGTCAGGATATGTGGTTGAGGTGGAATTAAGTTATAGATCATGAGTTGGACAGACTAGCTGAGAAACATAGATATGAGAGAGTTTACAACTTGAGTCCCTTGGGGTGGAAGCCTGTTTATTCAAGTAGCCCTCCCTAAGAAACCTCTCAACCCAAAGACAGAAGCAATATAGAAGCAGTTGCAGAGACCTGCAAGTTCTTGGAGAGGCAACATCACATCCCCAGAAGAGAAAACTAAATAGTCCAAGAAATGGCAATAGCAGGAGGCAGTAGTGTATGTAGCATGGAGTACTCCTGGACCGAGATTCCTGGAGAGAGGAAGAGTTCCTGGACATCACTGAATCCCTGGACCCAAGCCTCCAGGAAAGAAGAGGAAGAATTCTAAAACTAATTAGAAGACTGGGCTCCTGAAGAGTAGCAACAGAGAGAACCACAATATAGAGAATCAAGTCTAAACCACTACCAATGAATGAACTGGGCTGGTCTGAGGAAGAGGGCTGCCTGTCTAAGCAAACTCAGCCCTTTCCCTTTCAAAAGGCTCTTTCAAAAGAGCCTTAAACCATAGGGTCGAGCTATAAGTACAGAGGTCTATGAAAGAGATGAAGGGGAGGAAGGCTCACCAGAGGGAGTTAAATCGACTTGTTTACTATAAATACTTTCTCCTTTTCTTTAGGGGATTTTCAACCACAGGAGAACATTATAAGTATGGAGTTACCTGAAGGAGGTAGAGTTCACTAGCTGAGGGAAAAGCATTGTTTTGTCTGTTTTGGGGCTTGGGTAGGAGTCTTTGTGTTTTACATTTTCTGTCTGATAAATAGCCCATCTTTGTTTCCTGTACATATTGTTAGCTTGAACGCTTGCATGGGAGCTAACAGCCTTTGAAAAAAATATTTTTCTGTAGAGTACTTAGTTCAAACGACATTGTGATGTTTCCAGGGAAGACTCTTGGTGTCAGCAGGATCCAAATAAAGCAA